AACACTGGGATTTGAACTCTGGACCTGCCACTTGGGGGTTGACAACCTGACCACTTCACTAGGTCACCACACCCCTTATTTTTAAGATCTTTAAGATCATTAAAAAATGGATTTAATATAATTTCAAGTAACTCATACTTTTCTACTCTAGGATATAAAGCGACAGTATGGTGGTAATTAGGCATATGATGATTCTTTATATCATTAAGAATCATGAATGTTATCATAACGTGTTTTACCTTTCGACCTACATTTCGACCATCACCAGAAATTCGTATATGAATTGTTGGATTATTAGCTGACAAAACATTTTCCTGCATCAAATACGGAATTATGTATCGAAGGATTTCTTTAAAGTCACGTTATCCACCTATATATTCAGATCTACTGATTTCATTAACGTTAATAGTATCAGTATCGATATTATCAGGAATTATATCGATATAATTAGGTTCTTCTTCTAAATTAGGATTGTTTATTGCCTTATTCATATTTATAAGATTAATCTGAATCTTATTGATTATCTCCTGGGTTAAATTATTTTGTTCATTTGCAATAATATATTCACGTGGTAAGTGAAAATTTATTGCAGCTAAGTTCCTATATGCATCTCGTGAAATATAACTGGAATCCATTACTTTAATTATATTTAAGATCTCTGCTTTTTGTTGTAGAGGATTTTTATCTCCAATATTAACATAATAATTTTGATTATTAATGGTATATTCGAGTGATTTTAATGAAACAGAGTCTTGTGTATTATATATAAGCTCACTAGTTCAAATAAATTCTTGTTTAAGTATTGTTGCAAATTCTTTTGCATGCCTTATAAGAGTTTTCTGAGAATATTGCTCCGCAGGTTTGATATGTTGTCTAGCTTGAAGTTCTCTAACAGTTCTAAGTTTTTGAAGTTGTAATCCGAATAGTAAAGGCCCAGATAAAGAACCTTTTTTGTTTGAATTTCTAGTTATGGCCTTCTCATAATTTTCTACAGCTTTGCTGACTGATGTATTTGATTTAACTTCGAATTCAAAAAAGGTGCCATATAAAATTTGAAATTCTGGTTGTCCGTTTTTGTACTTGATCTTGCACTGGACTGTTTGCTGATTTTCAGCATGCTTCCAAGTGGTTTTTACGGAATAATCATTAGGGATTGGATACTTTTTAGGAGGCAAAGTATAGTGAAGTTCAGGATAATAGGGATAAAATCCCTTAGCTTCTATAAAATAATTAAATGATCATTGAATTATATTATTTTTTTTTTCTTGGTAAGTAATTGTAGAGATTTGGGGATAATCGCCTAACTCAAAGGTTTTAATTTCTGATTTATTTTTAATAATTAAGTAATCTGGATGATTTGACATTGCGAGAAAAAATTTTGAATGATTTGGACGTTCTCAAAAAATTGGTTCAAAATAAAGTTTACTTTTAACACGAGCGATTTTTATAGTATTTATGTTTTTGTTTTAATATACTGTAGATATTATAGATAGAGACAAATGGAAATTTAATAAACTTTTAATTATGTAATATTACAGCATTGTGCTTAGATCTCTAGATCAGCAATAGAAGGCACTCACGTTACCAACAATTGCTTTGCTAACAATCAATTCAGCAGCATTAAAGAACGTATATATTGATACAAAAAAATTTATTAGTGATTGTCAATGAAACAAACCATCAGAAATATTGCGTAAAGATCCCGGGCAATAATAAAAAACCTAAATTTGGAAGTTTAAAATTTATCTTTGTTATTTTTTCAAATTAATATTAGATCGATAATTTTCTTTCGCTGTATTTTCAAATTAATATTAGGCTGTTAATTTTTATGATCACACTAAACCCTCATAAGTCTGAATAAGCATGCATAAAGATATTAACCTTAATAATCAAACTCGCACTATTATTAAGTCTAATAGGAAGAAAGTTTTGGTACTGTCAAGATATAATCAATATACATATCTTTAATAACGATCACTAAATAAAGTTAATGGAGCTATTTATTATGTTTGTCATTCTAGAAAATCATTTCAACAAAGCAATTTTGAATGATATTTTAATGTAAACATGGATTGGATAATTAGTATACATAATCGCTTTATAAATAAAATAGTATTTATATTTTATTATTGATGAAGAGTTGGCTAGATAATGTTTTGCTATTATCAAATATGTGAAAAGCAATACTTTGATATATCATATACAGTATATACAATGCCGAATGTGAACCAGAAGTAAAACTTAAAGTAACAGGAGGTATAATGGTGCAGTAGTGACTGGACTTGTGTTAACTCGTAACTCGTGAATTAAATTCTGAAGAGTGCTTGAATTATTCGAATAATAATATTCTTCGAGTTTTATTCGAGTTATTCGAGTCACAACAATTAATTTATTGAAAGTTTTGTAAATTGAGAGCTACAAAAGCAAATATACTTCGAATAAAGAGCTACACAAAGTAAATATAATTCAAATTATGTTATTATCGCAGATTATAAGTTATGAAAACAAGTAGTGTATTAATTATTTGTCAACTTGAAATAATGTCTAGCAAATTCATGTTGCTTTTTAAAAATCACCCACTAATTCTGTCATAGTACTGTACTTTGACTAATTTTTTCAGCATAAAATTCCTCCTGTTCATTATTACTTTAGTTTGTGTCATTTGTATATATATTTTTATTTTTATTAAATATAGCAATTATACAGTTTATTTAAATTTCAATGAGCCATATATGTTGTAAGTGGAAATGGAATTTAACCCTAATTTAACTACGTAGGAATTCCAAATCCACTTAAATTCCATTCCCACTTACAACATATAGAAGTGCCTAATCTAAAAATTGTAAGACATAAACGAAATTTGGTCGCTTATGTTGAATAAGTGCATACTGCAATATCAATTAGATCTCGTGAAAAGTCCAGAAATCAGAACCTAACATATCTTAAAGAGAAAGAGAAAAATACATTTAAATATGGTTAATATATGGTATATAGATAGTATTAACATTCAGATACTTAGTTATCAGTGGAACTGCATAATCAGTAGTAAATTTAAACTTTTAAAATCTTTTTTTTTTTTTTAATAAAAAAAAATGTCTCGATTTAAAAGTACTCATTACTGTTACAGTCTCATGTTTAACGTTCTTTATCACAGATCATATAATTTTGTATTTTCGAGGTTGCTCTAAAGTACATTGCAGAAGTGGTGACTAGTGGCTGGTGACTAAAAGAATACTAATATCTATACACTTAACACTAAAAACTATAACAAATAAGTTATGAAATACCAAATGTAGGCTGTGAAAGTGTGAAAAAATTTAGTCTGAGTTTTGGGCTTTTTTGTTATTGTGGTAGTTACGAGCAGGGTTGGCAATAGAGCTGCGAATGGAGCCAGAATGGCGGTGTTGGATGATGACTTATGTCATACCATTTTTTTCTATATGACCTTAGTCATATACCCATATGACTTTTTGGTCATAGTCATATCGGTTATATTAAATACTAATGAAGAAAATTTTTACTATGATTCTTACAATATTAAAAAAGACCATAAATCATATCAATCTTCGTTATGACCAAATGACCTATGACAGGTCATAAGGGTCATATAGGTTACTAGTTTTTTGAGCTCTATTCATATAACCACCAAGCACCATTGGCTCCATTGCCAACCCTAGTTATGGGCTACGCAATTGGACTTGTTAGATAAGTATTTCCTCTTAATATCTCTATTTTTTTCTAATTCTTTTACTCTTTATATAGCTACTAACAATCCTATGTTATTTCTTATTGCGATGGTATGCTATTCCTATTATGAATTCTGGTTTATAGTATCATGTTATATAGTAATTTTAAGTGTATAATGACATGGACCACAAAGTTAATCGGTTGGTTTTTAATATATAAGGGCTCTGATTTCTAATCGACACTTTTCTTCTTTACTTTTATAAAACAAGAATATGGGTTTTATGAATATTACGGGCCAAGAAATAATGAAGGTATGGTACGAATTTAATGATCAAAGAAAAATCTTTTTAGAGGACCACACTTTCTACTAAGACCTTCGAAGTTTTGGAACTTAACTGAGTTACTTTTATTTGAGAGTAAGTTGGGTCACTTATATACTTGTTATTTTATATATAAAATAAAATTTAAAAATTTATAATTTCTTTGCTTTATTAAACTTCTTGTGCTGCATCGATTGCTGAGTAGGGGTAAATTTGACGTTTACAACGTACGTACGTACATACATGTGTCAGTACGTATATAATAACGATGTCAAATTATATGACTCAATAGGATTTAGACTCTTGGGTTTTGGGTGGGACTCTTGGGTTTGACACATTATCTTGCATGATCTATTATATCCTTGAATTATTTAGGGTTTTATTTGAATTATTTAGGGTATTTATTTAAATTTATTGAGTATTGTTCCGTATTGCAGACCAATTAAAAACGATTAATTATGGGGTTTAAAATAACTCCAGTGCCTCTGTTTAGGGCCCAATGTCTCCGATTAGCCCATATGAAATAATAATCATATATGAAATGTACTGTATACCGGTATATGTGTCTATATACTGAAATTAAAAAATGGCAATTTCTACTTGTGCCCCGTCTCACAAATTAGTTATGCATGATAAGCCTTGCTAGGTGATACAGATAAATTTTATGTGTAGAATTATTACGCTAATGAACGTGGGTAAATTATGAAATTTTATTTATTATCGCTAATTCAGATTTATTTTTATTTAACATTAATTATTTGAGAATTATCGCATTCACACCACTTATATATTTCCTCTGCTACTTTTTTGCATGTTTTACAATATAAATGTGAATGATGATCGCATTCATCACAAACCTTACACCCGTGCTTCCAGCCTCTAAAGATGTGCCACTTTTCGATATAATTTCGGCTTTTTTTATTTGTTAATACGTTACTCTTATCTTTCATTGTTATATATTAGCCGAAAAAAATATATACGTGTTCTAAATTTTTTATCATTCAAACCTGCAATTAGTTAATACTCAATATTGCTACCGTAATATCAATAATGTAGTACATATGTAAGTAAAATTCATTTTCCCGTTGATCTTCCTGATAATGCAAATAATTTTTTGTTACTTCAACAGATTAACCGCCTATATTGGATATATTGTAAAAATCAAAACGAACTACAGTAAATAAATTAATTCTTAGCAAACGAATATATTTAAAAATCAAATCATAGATAAAAGCTTTATTAATTTTGTAGATATATATGAAAATGGCCCGGGCCAGCTAAGTAGAAAATGAATATTAGAGTAGTGGTGTTTCAAGTGAGAAATTTGCTGGCCCCTAGACCATAATGTAGCAGTTCCTTCTCGCTACTCCGTATTATTAGCTAAGTTAAAATTATTTTTGCTATCGATCCAAGCATCTATTTTATTTAAAGTACTACCTCTAAAATCACCATTATTATAATAAAAATTTTTTATAGTTTTCTTACCAATCTTTTCCATCCCAAGACTATGAATCTCAACAGACACCATATTACACATATCATCTAAAGAATAATTATTGTCTATCATAATCTTATCAAAAAGAATTTTAAAGTGGTTTCTGGTTGTTGAGGTAATATTGGAAAAAGATAATTGACTTGAGCTACTAGAAGAACCCAGAGAAGAACCAGAAGATCTTTGAGAAAAATTGGACATAGATACGGATGGGCCAGCAAATTGTTCAGATATTAATGATGCCACAGAACCCGTCTCAGTTATTTGGTCCAACTGGTCACGAAAAGATTCATAATTGGTGGTGATTTCATTAATAGTTTCAATCACAGTATTTATCATTGTCAGCATTCTCTGTTCCTCGACCACAATTGTGGCATCTCGTGATGTAAGATCTGCGGTTAATCTTTCCATATGTGCATCGAGTTCTGCAGTAAGTTGCTGTCTGACGACATATGTAACAGAGCACATGGCAATGAAAATCAGATAGACAGTAATTTTCTCAGCGAACATCATTATTAACACAAAGGCCAAAAATGGTGCAATTTCTGAAACATTGATTGAAGACATCTATAATAGGAAAAAAAGATTATTAGTATAGATACACGAGTGCGGAGGTAACATACAAACAAATTAATTAGGCTATTGTGATACTAACATCTTATTTTCAAAAAAAATTACAGGTATATTGTTTTGTTTTGGGAGAATTAGCCGGAGGCTGGCAAATGCCTAATTTTTTTATTGGTTATTGTAATTTATTACTAAAGGCAATTACAAAGTGGCTAGAATGACTTATTGTTTTATTAGCTGTGCCCCCTTTGGAGATATTATTACAGAGAAAATGGTAGAGGGGTATACTAAAGATTTTTGAATCCTTTTTATACAAGATTAAGATTTCACGTCTTAGAATCTGATTTGTTGTCTCTGTCAGTAAAGGCCAGAACATACTGAAAAAAAAATATTAATTATGTTATTATCACATTATTATTGATTTATCATCAAAAACATGGGCATAAATTCTGATTTTGAGAATGGAGACCTGGATCTAGAAACTTAAAAATACACAGTCTGAGTAACGTTGAGTAAGATAAGTGATATTTATTAGCTGAAGGGTTGCTTACGCTAAAGCTAGTATATCTGATAAATATTTACAATTTCAACGCTAACCATCACATTAAGATCCCACCAATATACACATATATGTGGATTTTTATACAATTAATAACCGACTTCTGAAATAACATTAGGACGATACGCGATCTTATTTAGAATTTGACTTTCGTAATGCTACTCAATTTTTGGTTAAGTATCAGATATAATTTTACCACTTCAAGTATATTTAGCGGTAAAGTCATGAATAATCAATCATTGACAAATTTATCCTATTTTATTAGTAAAAGTAGCAAGACTAACATATCATTCCTTATATTATAGAAACTTCGGTATATAGACCAAGTACTACGTATATGCTACTGAGAATATGCTAGAAAGTTTGAGCAAAAACATGATAAGTTCGGGTATTATTTTATGGCGATTGATCGATTCATCCAAGACACACATAATATCGCTACCACATGTGATTTAATAGATCGTGACCCAGACTAAGTACACATAACATCGTCCCCGAGGCCCATTATAATGTGACATGATTTAATTTTGTGATCACAATCTGGACTAACCGATTTTTATGTAATACATTTTTATTATCCGTAATCGAAGCATGTGTTTGAATGCGAAGTTGATCAAATAGCCAACTGAAAAAATATATATGGCAGATGGGTAAGTCGGCTTTCTTCTCCTTACATTAGATATTTTATATATTCGAATGTATCTTCTCCAAAATTATATGAATCTAGAGGGTTTCTATAATTATAGTCTTCAATATTTGACAATATTGCATTTCTAATTCTTTTACTGAAGATCATATTATTATTTAATAAATACCTTTCTACTTTTATGAGCTCATCAAATATTGTCAATGCATTATTATATATGGACTCAATTTCATTATCATTTATATATGATCCTCTATAGCATCTGTCTAATTTTTCTAATAAATTATGGTATTTTATATTAAAGTATTTTCGCCTTTTATAAAGTTTATGACAAATTTCTTTATACCATATGCGATTAATATAAATATAGTCATTTAGATCTTCTGTTGGCATTTTTGGACGATTTTAGCGATGGTTTCTGAAAGTGTAAATGGGTTGAATATATGCATGTTATATTGTATATATCAAATGTGTGGGTTTTATTAACTAAGACTTTTTATTCTTTTAGAATTTTGCATAATATCTTGATTTTATATCAAGTTCTTCAACTTGAAGTATTCTGCAAATGTTTTTTTTATTTTAAAGAAAAAAAATATTAACTATGTATACATCTGGATCACTGCCATGATCTAGACTCTATGATTTCAGTTACAAAGAAGACAAGTAAGGCGTACATTCCCTTTAATATGCCCCAAACTATTGTGAATTCGATCTACTGTTCACTGAAGTATATCTCCTGGCTGATCCCATTCAAATTTCATTTCGATGAGACATGATGCGCATTTGTCTTCTTGAATACATTTTAATGTGAGGATATAGTCAACTGTTAGATCAAATTTATGACCTTTTTCTTTGTTCTGGCCTATATATCTGATAAGTTTTTCCTGAATAGACAGTCTCAATTTGTGCTTTAGCTGTCTTTTCTTTTTTGCCTCCTCAATCTCTTGAGCAATTTCAGGAGGTAATAGAGGCGCTTCAACCCGAATGAGTTGGTTTAAATATTCCACACGACCAACTGCCAAATATATTAGATTATCTCAGACTAAGTTTTCATCAATAATCCAAACACGCTGTAGTAACTTAAGAGTCATCCCCTGACTAGTATGAATAGTCATAGCATATCCAAGTTCCCAATCTATGACTTTTTTATCTGCCAACATATCTTTTAAGAATTTGTCAGGAAGTGTATTTAAGAATAAGTATACTATGTCATTTTTTACTAACTCCTTCTTTTCAGATAGGCCAGGGATCTGGACAAGGCAGTTTTGTTTGCGTCCATCTCTTGGCCTATAAATTAATGAGATTGGAATTTCAGGATATTTTATTTGATGAAGTTCTAAACATTTTTGGGAAGCAATTCTCCGAGAAAGTATATGTGTTGATAATATGTGATCTGAGGGAGTCCATTCCTTTTCGAGATGTTCCTATTTTTCTATAGTTGAGAGAATTCCTCGAAATAATTTTGATTGTATTCGATTATTTTGTCGACGCATAGCTTTTTTGAGTTCATGTAATTTAGGACATTTTGCACAATAATCAGTTAAAACTTCTTCGTAATAATCAGCATGCTCTTTTAACCAATTATGTGGCATTTCTCTAAAGAATGGCGGAGGTTGTGCATCATCACCGCAACAAATTACCTGGCATTTATGTTCTAATAAATAATTAATGAACATTTCAAGAATATGCTTAGGAACTGTACATACCTCATCCCAAATAACAACTCGTGGAAATTTTTTCTCTCCCATGCGTTCAGGTGTCCACTCTCCCACTTCATTTCATCTGAAGAAACTATGCCAGGTTTGAGCTTTTACATCACGTTTTTCTCGAAAATCTTTAGCTAATGCATTTGTATGAGTAAATACAACCATGTTTATATTTTTGAAAATTCGAATTGCATGTGTTGTTTTTCCTGAACCACCTCCTCCATTAAGATATGATTTCTGACATCTTGTAATAGGATCATGAATCGAAGGTGCTGTACTTTTAGGAATATTTTTGATCGATTCCCAATGTCTATTCTTTGGCCAGTATACAATATCGGTAACTGGTCCATATATTTTTTCACCTTTGTCACGCCATTGACCGGGTTGAATTTCTCGGATTTCTTGTTCTTCTGGTTGATGTAAAAGAGCATAGGAGTCTGGTTTATAAAACCATTCCCCAAAGCAAAATCTGCAAACAAATGGTTTATGTCTTTTGCAATCATAGTTTACTAGAGGCCTTTTTGTTTTTAGAAACTCTTTAATCCATTTTGCATATTCAGATTTTGAAATAAATAATTCTTTTGGATCAGTACACATTGCACAAGAAGGATAGTGTGAACATAAATTTGGATCTGACTTTACCTCAACTTGCTCGAAGAATGCCAGTATATTTTCGATCTTATATAAAGCCTCTTTTCATACATATATAGAATCTGTAGCAATTCTTATTACTTCATTAGGATCAAATCTCTAAAGCATCTCTAACAAATTAATATATGCATATGCTAATATTGAGGCCCGCAAATGTGTATATTGAGGTTGATGTCCCTCGTAATATGTAAGTATAAATCCGAGTAGACATTTTTCTCTTCCGGCAAAAGTTCCAGCATCAGTACAATCTTTGATCAAGAAATCAAGCTCACCTTCATCTGTTACAAGTCGATGAGTAAGGTGTTTTTCATCAATCTTGCCACCTTGTGTAAACTTATCTATAATTGCACAACTAATATCTCGATTTCTAGGTAGCCATACTTTGGTCTGTTTAGTAAGAGAAATTATTGCCTCTCCAATAGTCACACTTTCTAGAATGCCAACCTCAAGAAGATATCATAGAAGTACAATAGGTGCCCATCCTTTTTCTTTCCCACATCCTTCTCCACTTCAACACGCAAAATGTTTTCCGTACCAGATGAGAATCGCTAAATGTATATTTGATGCAAATTTAAAAGATCTTACCTGTGCAAATCCAGTGATATCATCCTCCGGCAATTCTTCATTTACCGCAACTCGAACAAGGTAGTGTGTTGGATGTCCGAACCTATTGAACCATGGTGTACATTCTCCTTGATCTCGCATGCTTGCTGGATAACATTTTTTCATATCGATACATACGACATCATTGACGTGATAATCGGGTGCATTCCAGTGTCCACCATGCCCATGCTCGACACAGGCTTGCCTTATATTTTCATTTACTTTTCCAGATATTGGATGCCATTCATTGATTTCATTAGCGAGTCGGCTTCCAGCATGGTTTGTACCAAATACCTGCTCTGCTAAATCAACAACTTTTAGAGACTCTGAAAGAATCGATTTCTTTTCCTTATTGATTATTCCTTCCCGATATTGCTAATCTATTGTATCATTGACCAGTTGTTTGCACGCTTCTATAATTTCTGTATGCTTTTTCCATGTTCTAAATGTGCGACCATCTTCTAGAACAAACTGAGATATTGTTTGACTCGTATCCCCCACTCCTATAAGCCAGATTGCTTGAGGTCCCCTGAGGGCATTACTGATAGCTTCCCATGTATCACCCTTATAATATTCGACCATTCGATCTCTTGGGAAGTGCTGGTTTCTTGGAAATGCATAGCTATTATGAACTACCATTCCGATTTCTTCATACTTATCTGATCGATACTTTCTACTATTAAATATAGTACCATGAGTTATATCAAGTAATGTAATTGATCACTTGAGAATTTTTTCTAACTCTGCTACATCACATACTCGAGCACCTGGAATGTGCATTTTTTTCTCCCAATCATTTATTTTTTGCCAACGAATTTTTGTGAGTCCATGTCCTCTTTTGGCTTGATCAAAATGCTCTATTACTCGTTCAGCTACACAGTTAAGTGTACTATTCTTTATAGGCATTAATTGATTGACATCTGGCTTTCGGATTTGATATAATCCATAAACTACTGCATTGGTATCAAGTCTTTCTACTTCAGATTGCTCACTGACTTCTCTGACCAGAAATTTTTCATCTATTTTTACCCAAAATCCTGGTTTCGTTTTCTTTGTAAGTATAACATTGGGGCCACCCCTGATGTATTTTCTACCTGCCTTTTTTGATTCGCAAATAGGCTCATATTTATCAATAATTTTAAAAGTGATCTTTGTTTAAGATTTATCTCCATATACAGAATCATTTCTAATAAATTTTACCCTTATTAAGAACTCGCCATTGTCAATTGCATTTAAAATTTCTTGGGCTCGCTCTTCAGTCATCCCAGCTTCATATTTTTTGGATTCTATTTCTGCAAACCAGGTTGAGAAAGCATATTCAGCACCATCTACTTTAAACATGTCTTTTGCTGTTTGAATACTCTTTTGCTATACTTCCTGATGCCATTCTTTATCTGGAAACGAAACCGGCCAAGATACTTTTTTATCTAAATCTTTTGGATCTTTTTCAGACTCATCTCTTTGGTCAATGATTTTAGGAGTTGGGGTTTCCTTCCCCCAGTCTTTTCTTTGCCTTTTTCTGTATACTTGAGTAGTTGAGCCAAATTCTGCTTCAGAATCTTCTTCTATTGGTTGGAATACTTTGGTTTTCTTTTGCCATTTACTAGAAGACTCTTTCATTAAATCAAACCATTCTATATCTGTTTTTGGGACCTTTTTATTAATAATAGTTGGGTTATTTTTTATTTTAGGATTCGCAAGCCAGTTAACCAAATCCTCTATAGATAAATGCATTGTTTGGCCTCTTTTGGATCCTTTCTTTTCATGAACATAGACTAGAGGAGATGGAGGATTAGATGCTGGCGATTGAGGTCTGGATATATTAGGGTTAGGTGGATGAACCGGGTTGGGTATTTGGGTTTGCTTACACTTAAATTTTCTGTTAAGATGATTTGTTAAATCATGAGTCTTTTTAAAGTCATTCTTTCTACATCAAGGACATTGGAGTACCATTTTTGATAGTAAGTGAATTAATTCAGTTTTTTGTATTAATAGTACAAAAACTTTTGTTCAAATAATAATTAATTATCCTCTTTCGATCTTTCAATTGGCGGGAGATAGCCTGAAAAAATTTATATCTATCCCGAAAAATTTACACCTATTCTATTTTTTTATATCAGAATTACAATCAGAAGGGCATTCAAAAGCAAGAAAACAAATTAGCGAACTTAAGATTAACAAGCTTCAGAAAGATAAGAAGACAAATTAGCAAACTTAAAGTTAACAAAAGTTTAGATAGGTAAGAAAACAAATTAACAATCTCAATAAGAAGAAGGCATTAGAATTCAATCCCCGTATATAAAAATTTACACCATGATTATAGAGCTTCTAATCTAATTCTAAAGCCAAGTAGAGTAGCAAAAAATAATATATTTTTTATATATGATAGTGAACCCCATAAGGCCCATGAGGACAATCCTGTAGTATTTTTTTTTACACATAAAAGTCTGCTCGCCCTCCCTGCTGCTGATACTGAGGTTGCTAATAAAGAAAGTTAACAATAGGATAAATACAACATTAGAACAGATACTAGAAAATAGAATAATAGAAGAATGAAAAAGAGATAAAATGAAGTTACTAAAAATAAGACAAATAGAAGAATTAGAAATAGAAAACAAGAATTAAACAGTATGATTACAAATCATTTAATAAAGATATTGACATGAAAGAAAAGAAACAAAAAAAAATATAGCTTCTATACTGATAGAGCATTATATAAGAAGAAAGAAGAAAATAATGCAAAAAGAATAGGTATCAGTTAGATACAAGTAGAAGAAAAAGAAGATTGGCTAGAGAGAAAAACTGCATTGGGACTTGAAAGTTGGCCTTCAGCAATAATAACAGAATTGGCAGCAATATGAATAGCAATCTTAACAGTACCAGAAGGAAAAAGCATAGAAGTGTTTACAGACAGCATTGCAGTATTAAGAAACATTAATATAGCATTTCAAAATATAGAAAAGAAAAGAACTCTGAAGAAGAAAAATGCAATATGGATAATGAACATTGTAGGTCTAATCAAGAACAAAAATATTAAAATAGAAATAATTAAAGTGAAAAATTATAATAAAAATAAATAAAATGACAGAGCAGGCTCTTTTGCAAAAAAAAAAACAAATTGCCAAAATAAAATATATGTAAATAAAGTCAAATATGATAGGATAGAGTATTATTTAGAATAGAAAAACAAGAAAATTAATATATTAGCAAGATTTCTATATAAAATAATAACAAATATCAGAATAGGAGCCAGTTAAAGAGATACAAATTCAATATAAACATTAGAACCAGAAACAGAAAATGCACAACATAATTTATTAAGTTTTTGAAAAAAAATAAACAAAACAAAAAGAGTACATTGTATATCAAGAAAACTTAGTACAAGAAAAGCTATAGCAATCAAATGCATAATAAATAGCCTACTAATATTTGAGAAACTAAATAAAAGAAGACTAAAAATATATACAACAACAGAGTATCAAGTTTGCCAAGTTAAAGAAAAAAAGACTCAGGCACATTTAGTAAGTTGTAGTAGACAAAAGAGTTTGTGAAAATGGATTCAAAAAGTTACAACAACAACAGCATAAAATGGACTCAAGAAAGAAAAAAAAAACAGAATTCTATCACAAGTCCTATATAAGACATTATTTAAAGAAACAGAAGCTAAAGAAATTACAAACAGAAAAATGCCAATAAAAAAACTTATAATGATAAAAGTAGAAAAAAGACTTAAGCAACTCTTAAGCAAGCAGGCAATACAAAAATGCATAAATATAGTAATAAGAACAGTATAGAACACCTTCTATGACCAAGTATAAAAAGTATGATATAAAAAAATACAAGCCTGAAAAAAGAAAATCAATATAATGAATAAAATAAAAAAAGGTGTCTGTGTAAGAAAAAAAACAAAAAAGAAGGTAAAGAAAGATAAACAAGTAAAAGAAGAAGAAAAAGAAAAGAAATCAGAAAAGGTAGACCAAATGAAGAAAGAAGCTTTAAAGACAATAAATATGCTTGTCATAGAAAGAAGAAAACCCTTCTGGTATGGTTTTAAGTAGTTAGACAAGCAGTCTATTTCTAACTGAGATAATATGATAAGTTATACTTAAGTATCATTATAATGACCAAGTAATGCTAGACTTAGATATTAGGAAATTCAATATAATTGTATAGGTATATAGTTTCAAGAATCTTACTAAAGTACTAGCATAACTACTTAAGGTTAAAAAAAAAAATTAAAATAAAATAGATTATAATTTTGACTTATTAACTAATCTTTAATATTATCTAACTTAACCACAAAAAAACATACATGTTCTTAAAGAGATTATATTTACTTATATCTTTCTAAACTTCTTGATCAATTACATTCTCACTTAAACATTTGTTTTTTTATTAATCAAGCAATTTGCAAAATCAACATTTGATCTATTTTATGGATTAAATATAATATATCATCAAATTATATACTAAAAATTCAATATAGATGAATTTTGATCATTCTAATAAATTTAGATTACAGATAAATTAGTCTGAGCTTTTATTCTTATATATAATTTTTAATTGATTTGTTTTGTACAAATAGTAGTAACTTTATAATTAGCAGTTTAATGGTTAACCCTAACTGCAAGTGTTAACCTTGACCATAACATATATATATGTAACTATTTTAATACCAAAAAAAAAAAATTATGTGTCAACTGTGTGATTATAGAAAAGAACAATAATTTGATTATTATTTTTCGACTCATAAGCAGAAGTTCGTCTGATTGGCCAATAAATCCAATTAAATTTTACATTATTAGAGGTACTTTTTAAAAAACAAAAACTAATCATAATGAATAAAAGAAGCTGTATTGAAAGCTGTAGGATTCTATAGCCAAAAATAATATCTAATTCTTGCTCGTTTGAAAAAATTAGCTTAGTAATAAGTTGATTGTATCGGGTTTTGAGAAGTTATTACTATACTAACTTTTTAAACGGACGAGAATTAGATCTTATTTTTGGCTATTGAGTCCTACAGCTCTAATGAAACCTTCTATACAACTTTTTATTTCATTATGATTATATTTCGTTTTTTTAAAAAGTAAATAATAAAATTAAATTGAATCTATTAGCTAATTAGACGAACTTCTGCCGATGATTTTTCGACTGATCTGCCTTGGACCTTTATTACGAAAAATCATCGGTCTGGAGAATTATCAATACCTAAACGATAGTGTATTTTAGAATTTGTGAGAATTAAAAGGCTCCCAACAACATTAGCTAAATTAATTTTCACATGATAGTGGTCAGAGTGAGTTTTAGGGTTACTTTTTGATGCAGTTAGAGCAAGTAGAAAATGCAATTTATGTAGTATGTAGATCATATATTAAATTTAACCGACCCCATTTATAGAAATTCCAGAATTCATGCGATTTATTGCGTAATACGTAATTTAATAAAAAAAAATTACGCCGAAAGAATACATACTTTATATCAGTCATGTCTTTAAAAATTTTTGTTGGAACTTATAACGTAAATAAACGAGAAATAGATCAAGATCTTTCATCCTGGTTATTTCCAACCAACTCGTCAATAACCGATAAACCGGACATAATAGTAGTAGGCTTTCAAGAATTTAGTTCCTTCCCCAGCGCATTTTTCAGCAATAGCTCATATTTAAGCAATGCATCACTTTCTAGCAACATAACGCAATTAGGTAACGCATCTCTCTCTGGTGGTTTAATTAAACACAACGTGGATGAAGAACGACTTGAACATTATTCTAGCTTGATAGAAAGAGTGATTTTTGCAAATACAAGAGAAAGTTATACAACATTGGTGAAAAGTACTTTTGTCGGCTTAGCATTGTTCATTTATGTTAGAGACAAAAGCGTTACCAAATGGATTTTGAATGTCGAAATAGCTAAATGCGGTGTTGGCCCATTTTGGATCGGAAACAAAGGAGGAGTGGGGGTTAGAATTGTTATCAACGCGAACGCGATTGGTGTACAGGAGACCGAAGGTGAAGATGGCACAGATAATACAAGTGAATTAGTGCTGTGTTTTGTTTGCGCACATCTCGCACCGCACAGTCATAACACATATCAACGTAATCAAGATTTTAAAAGTATTTGTGAACGATTGGTGTTTTCCAATATTATGTATTCAGAGAATACCAATAGAGATTCCGCACAAGAGCAACAAGAAGATTGTGAAATAATGATGACGAGTATGGAAGGAGATTCGGCGCCGTTATTACCGTCGCACAACAGTAAGCACCAGCATTACTTTACTATATACGATTCTGATTTTCTTTTCTTCTTCGGAGACTTGAATTATAGAATCGAGTTGAAAGAACAAGGAGGTTTCAATAATAATAATACTCTAACTATTTCAAGTTTACTTGACATTCTGCGAGCTCGCCAACATCAACGAATTAGGGCTTGCGATCAATTAGCAAAAGAAATAATTGATGGTAGAGTGTTACATGGATTTGAAGAAGGTGAACTAAATTTCATGCCAACATACAAATATTATGTTGGGAGCGTAAATGAATTTGATGTCAGACAACGAACTCCTGGTTGGTGTGATAGGATTTTTTATTATTGGCGAAAAAGAGATGAATTACAAGGAGATCCTGGCGGTACTGCCGAGCGATCTTCACCCATATTATTAATTAACTATATGTCACATCCTTCTTACACGTTATCGGATCACAAACCCGTTTCTGCTTTATTCGTCATAACACCACAACATAAACGGACGGACATTAAGTCAGGTATATCCAATTCACCATTTAAGATTGACGAGCATAGAAACCTTAAATTTGCAATCGGTGAAGCATCCAGTATAATAGTTGGTTGTTTATGGTGGTTATTTGGTACAGGACGAGGGGTGAGAACTACCCTGATTATTGGATGTGTTGGATTCCTTGTATTATGGATAGTTAAAAAATTAACATAAGGAATTGACATAAGGAAATTAATTAACCTATAATTCACAAATCGTATTATTTATTTATTTAATTTAATAAAAAATATATATATATCAGACAAAGGACATTTCCCCTAGAATGCTGTTTATAATAAAATTATAGTAAAAACATATGAATTTACTATAAACTTTGAGTTAAAGATCCTTTTCAACTTAACTAAATAACTTAAAAATAAATTTTGCGATTATATAGAACAAAAGAAGAAGAAAAAATTTAGCTTAAAAACCAAGTTAAAATTTTGCTAATTTTGTCTATTTTGAAGATGTAACTTCTTCAAAAATAATTATTTTTTAATTTTAAAATAATTATTACATGTAAAATTATGCACTGAACAACTTTATTTAGAAGACAAAAATAGGTTGTCTTAGTATAAAAATAAGGTAACTATGTGCTAAAGACAAATATTTTTGTTTATCTATATAAAACTTTTTTTTTATTAAGATAACCTATTTTGACTTCATAAATAAATTTGTTAAACATAAAATTTTACATATATATATTTTTCAAAATGCATTTTCTTAAACATTTTATTAAGTGAAAAATGAAATCAAAGTTTAAAAAAAAATTAAAAATTTTTTCTATATTTAAGAGTAGAATGTAATATTTTAAAATTATATATAAACTATTTAAAAAAAAAAAAAAATTATATATAAACCTAATAATATATTTTTTTTATAATTTCAATTATGAAAATTTTTACTAATTAAATATTTTTTGAACTTCTAAGTTGTAGAGTAGATTCTTGTAATTTTAACAGTAGTAAAATCATTAAAATTGATGTAAAACTTATTGATATATAAATTTTTAAAAATTAGATATAAAAATTTACTATTAAAATTCTTTTATAGTTTTTTGAAAATTAACCAATTAAAGTTAACTTTTTTATGTAATCCGAGAAAAACATAGAGCTTCCTGGAAGAATTCAAGGTATATACAAATAGAATTTTTTAAATTAAACATCTTATAAAATTTTAACAAAATAAATAACTTATTTAAATCTATATATTATTAAATTTTGATAAAAATTAATTAAAAAATAAAAAAGTTTTATTAGTAATACATTTTTAATTTACTATATAAAAATCTATTATACTATCTAGATCATATAAAAAATGATTTATATACACTCTACCTTTAACCTCATTTTTTTACTTAATAAAAGGTTCAAGAAAATGCATTTTAAAAGATATATATGTAAATTTTATGTTAAAAAAAAGGTTTTATATAAATAAACAAAAATATTTACCTTTAGCAAATAGTTAACTTAATTTTATACTAAGACAACCTATTTTTGTCTTCTAAGTAAAGTTGTTCAGTGCATAATTTATATATAATAATTATTTTAAAATTTATTTTTGAAGAAGTTATATCTTCAAAACAGACAAAATTAACAAAATTTTAACTTGATTTTTAAGCTAAATTTTTTCTTCTTTTTTTGTTATATATAATCGTAAAATTTATTTTTAAGTTACTTAGGTAAAGTCAAAAGGGATCTTCAGCTCAAAGTTAATAGTAAATTCATATGTTTTTACTATAATTTTTATTATAGACAACATTTAGAGCTTTTATAAGAAGAAATGTCCTATAACTGATATATGATTGACATTTAATCGTTATCCATATTGATTTGATCAGGTTTGAAAGAAGGTGCACCTAATATAGTACCAGACCCTAACGAAACTATATCCATTTCTATGGTTTGTTGACTATCAGCGTTGGATGGCATATCTTTTATAAAAATTTTGTTATTATTCGAAAGTCGAAATAAAATAGCACGGAAAAATACTATTATGAGACATTCACCTGCATTGATTAGCTTTTCCGGCACCATTTCGCCTTGTTCAACACGTCTACGTAATTCCTTTAATGAAATCAAAAAATATATTATCATTAGCAATATACAAATACCAATAGGATTACAAACAGTATTTGCATAAACTCACGTATCGAACCCTCCTTTCTATCTTCTTTTGCTTCTTTTTAGATAGATCTTTACCATGTATTACTAATTGATTAGGTTTTAAAATACCATTTTTGCGAAATATCGAGGATAAAGTTCGTTTTTTAATCCTTCCCTCCTTTTGCAAATTACGTGGAGGTGGTTTATTTATGTTATTTTTCGTGCCCATCGTGATATCGATCTCGGTATTGATGTATTAAATGGATAAAGCTGAAGACAGAGATGTAGAAGTAAGATGATGATCCATGCAGCCATATTGGTATATTACATTGAATTTTATTGGACGATAAACAACGATTGATGCCGTTAGTGGAAATATCACCTCGCGTAAACAGTGACTTTTTTGATCAAATAACCTGAGACTGCATTTCATGACTTTCGAGAAATGTCTCAACAAAGAAAAACATGTCAAAATAATAATACCTCATGTACAAACTCAGCGCAAAAGCCTATTTACACAATTGATCCTTACACTTTACATTCATCCCAATTCGATTTTTCTCGTGATAGCATTCTACTTTCTCATAATACTCCTTCACAGACTAATCTTTTCTTTGACAAATCGTGTAATGAATCGATTATTATTAATTCTTCGAGTTCAGCTCCAGTCGTACGTGACGCGACACCCAACTATTGTACTTTTAATACAAACTATGTTTCGGTTAGTGAAGGAAATGGCTTACATACTGCAAGTGGTTGTAAATTTACTAAGCATAATGACTCAAGAAAACGCTGTTTAGTAAGTGATCAAAATCAACAATTTGTTCAAGTGCGACCTTCAAATATTATTATGCCATCAGGATCAATTAATGGATTGAATGTTTTTACAACACCATTTGTAAATATTAAACAAGATAAATGCGTGGTATGTTTTTTAAAAACGCGTATATTTTTATTTATTTATTATTTATTTTCGAAAAATTTTTTTTTAATAACGAATTTTTGCAATATCAGAACTCTGTAGTTGAAAATGGCATACCACCATTGTCATCTGGAACCCAAAATTCAAAAAAATTGAATTCACAAAATTCTTATGAATATTCTTCTATCATAGAAAATATACCTCGTAAAAAACAGAAATTACCTACTGATCAATATCTACTACTGTCGTCAGTAGATAATCTTTCTGATAAAAAAATTGATCAGAATTTGGTAACAATGGTTAAACAATATATATTAAATTCTAAAACTTCTTTTTCTGATAATACTCCTTTCAAAGATATATCTGTTGACAGAAACATAAATGATCGACAAAGTCGACTTAAGAAAGAAAGGTTTGTTTATTATTCAGATGATAGTAGTTCTGACGAAGAGTGTGATTCTGTTTTCAATAATGTTGAGAAAGATCTATTAACTGATGACAGTATTACTATTGATGGTGATGGTGATGATGATGAAACAGTCATCGCAAATGAAGAAGCCATCATTGATAGTAAAGACAATGCTATCGATAATAAAACGATCATGGACAAGAAAGAAACAACCATGGACAAGAAAGAAATAACCATGGACAAGAAAGGAACAACCATTGATAAGAAAGAAACAATCATTGAGAAGAAAGAAATAACCATCGATAAGAGAGAAACAACCATTGATAAGAAGGAAGTTATCATTGATAAAAAAGAAACAAACATTGATAAGAAAGAAGTTATCGTTGATGAGAATGACAGAAATTTACTTACTGCGGAAGAATTGTTGGAAATGGAATACAAATCAGAGTGGACAAAGTATCAAATCACAAAACGTGAATATGAATTTATGAGTGAACAGTTATTGTTGCGCGAAAAAAAACTGAAAAAAATTAAAAGTTTAATGGGATTTTGTGACTGCACGATTGATTGCGTAGACAGGAAATAATAACGGAAATTTTGTTATTAGTGGAGGATTGCATTTTAAATAATGCTTTAGATAATATTAGTTATGGGCAGTAAAAACAATCTAAACGATAGTTGTTGTGATAAATATGATATAAAAGAAGCTTGCGATTTCATAAATGTTTTATTTGGTGGATTAATTTGACAAAAGTTGGATTACATAACATTTGACATTTTTAGTTTAAATATAGAGATAAATTTGTAACCAATTTCAATTGCCCGACATCAATGTATATTAAAAAAAAACTTATAAAGAATTATAAGCCGAACTATTTCTAATTAATACATGAAGAAAATGTAAAGCAGATCCGACATACTAAGGATTATATCCAAGTAGAAATTACTACCCAACATATATAATAATTATCTACAACCAACGAGTCGGATAGTTTTGAAATTTTATCAACCATTTACTGAATATGTAATTTTCCACCCCTTACAGCTTCCAGTCCATTAGCCAACTCCCTCTCAAATATTTCAGTACTCATTAATCCATTAACATCAAACCAATTACCGAAAGATTTCGATATTTTGTGCTTTGAATTTATAATTTTACTAGATGAATTACTTCCATGAAATTCAAAAGTGATATTATAAATATCTGAATACTTTTTGGTATTTGTGTGAATCGTAAGACGTTCTTTAATATCTGGTGTATTTTTTTCGCCCAAGAATACGGTATCTTTTTCAAATATGAATGTGTAAATTACTAGTATCAAGTTTAAAATAAAGTATCTATAAGGTACATAAGTTAGTGTTATAGTTAAGGATAGTTTCTAATAATGAAAATAATTAAAATAATAAATTAAAAGATGGATATATGAAGGATGTCAGCAGAAACTAAGCAAATTGTTTTTAAGTGAATTTTTTTAAACTTTAAATTAAAATATCTCAATAACTATTAAACAAAACTTGATAAAAATTTTAAAATAAAAAGATTTTTATCAAGTTTGATTTAATAGTTAAGATATTTTAATTTAAAATTTTTAAAAAAACTCACTAAAAACAATTTGCTTGGTTTCTACTGACACCCCATATATATATATAAAGGATACACAACGACACAAATAAGTGTAACTTCCTTTGATTCATTAAATGGTGTTACTTGTCCATAATAACCACCACAAAGAGCGAACGCGCAAGATAAATATCCAATTATTAATTTAAAATCCGTATGCTTATGATTTTGGATGAATTCAGCTTTTGTAGTAAAGTACTAAAAAATATTATTATTAAATAATATTTCAGAGGCGAATTTAAAAGTTATAAATAAATATATAGAAATTCAGAGTAATGTCAACCTTCTGAATATAATCATCACATGCGTTTTTTAATTCTACAAGGTTAGAATTATTAACTTTGATAAGTTCCTCTTTTTCTTTGTCAGCTGGTTTCTCTGTCATGAGGTCCTCTTCCTTGGCTGCTGGTTGTTCTGTTACAGGGTGATAAAAAGTATATAAAAAGAATTAATCTGATTACATTGGGTTTTCTGATACAAAAATGATACAACAAAAAGCCAAAAATTACGAGAAAATGAACATGATCTTAAATTGCAGTACAACAAGAATATTATATAATTTCATTTTATATGTAAACTTTAATATTCGAGAGTAAATACCTTCTTCTTCACGTTCATTTTTATAGTCAGACATTTTTTTTCGTCGCGTTTTTAAGCAAACTCTCGCTATAAATATTCTTGTTGATCAAACTTCTAGTGCGTGGCTTCAATTTGTTGGCTATCGTTTACGTCGATCTGATCATGATTATTAACCAATCAAATCAATCTATCTATTACCTTAATACCAGCCCTAAAATTCTCAGGTTAAACCGACATCTGGATATATCGGAGGTATCGATATAACCAGAGTGACGTGTACTCAACTTCCATAAAAGGTGTAAAAAAAAAGTTTCTTTATATATTAATTTAGTATATATTGACATCGACATCAAATGAATCATTTGATGCAGGAGTATTTATATATTGATGAACACATACCTAATTCAATTTGATCATAATGTCTTTGATTCCAGAAGAACTAGAACTCGAAACTAATGAAAGTGACGATGAACTATATTATAAAGACATATACTTTGATTCTGATCTTGATAACGAAACTGGTGAGGTCGATAAGGAACAAAGCAATTTGACAGGTTCTTTAATAGCTTTTCGTTGAAGCACTTGGAAGCAAGAAATTTTTTAAATTTAACCGTAGGACGTTGGCATAATTAGAAGCAACATATTCAATAAAAAAACAAAAATCACGAAAAAAATTAACTGAAGAAGAATTATTTTATGATTCTAAAATGGATGATGATGATGAATTGTGGATGAAAAAAAAAATGGCTCGTAAGCATTTTAATATTATTATATGTAAGGAAATTTTAGATGAACAGATCAAATGACAAATCTATATTTAAGAGTATGATACCAAGATAACTAACCAAATAACAGAAGAAGTAACAAAGCAAACTACAATAGAAACCATAAACCAAACAGCAACAAACAAAACGGATGCGATATTATCATGCCCCATGTGTTTTACTGTTTTAAGTTATCATACCCAAAAGTAAGTGTCAGTATCCTTGTGATTAACTCAATTGCGTATGATACTAACAAAATCATATACATAGACATGACCTTTATTCATCACAATACCGAGCAATTTTTGTAGAAAATTGTAAAGTCAATCGGTCAGAACGATTAATTTATACCGATAAAGAAAATGTTAAAGCGCGTAATAAAAATAAAAATAAAAGATTATCAAATAAGTTATCAGATAAGCAAAAGCAACAACCTAACTCTACAGAAGATGCTACAGTCGAGATGTCCGGAACAACAGAAGGGGAAATTTATTATCCTGTAGAGTGCGAAATTTGTGGAACTAAAGTGGCAGTAGTGGATGAAGAGGAAGTATATCATTTTTTTAATGTTATTCCATCATGAATATTATAAATTGTATGTTCCGCATCGCGTCGAGAATTAATTAGTTGCAGATATTGTTTATTTGTACTAGTTTAATTAATTATGGTGATGTATATCAGATTATACAGCATATTATACAGCATATATTAATTTCACCAACCATAATAAAAAAATAATATTAATGTATACCTGCAAAAATATTGTATAATATACATAATGTATATGTTGAAATAAATTGTAGTTACAATTATAGTTACAAAAAAAAAAGGAAAATCGGTTATTAAACCGGAGGAATTACAATAAACGATATTATTGTATATATTATACAATAATTTATTCATTCTTTTTTAAACAATCAACACCAAAACTATTATCCATTTTACTGTAGTTACTTTAAAGAGACTTCAAGACATCAATCATATAATATTCCAAAAATAAGTATATACAAATTATTTTGAACGTTAATGTTCAAATAGTTCATCGTTCAATAGTAACCGATCAAAAAAAAAATGATTTTTTTTTTTTTTTCTTAATAGACATGAATCGTTCATTATAGTACTTGATATCTGATATACTTTATAAGAATTTAGATACTTCGTAGCCAGCTCATTTTTCCACTTAATTCTTTTTGAATATATGTAATTTTATCAGTATGTACTTTTGTTTTTTGATTTGATATTTCAACATCTTTTTTAACCATTTCAACTTCACTTTGAATCCTTGAGAAAGATTTTTCTTGATTTTCTCTTAGCTTAGCTTGGATAGATTGTAATTCCTCAACTTCAACTTGTCTTTGTAACGTTATCTCTTCAATTTTTGCACCTGCTTCCACAACAACATCTTCCAATTCCTTTGCAGTTGAATTCATTTCTTCTCTTAATTCTTGGAATTCTTTTTTAATTAATTCAACATCTTCAACATAACGCTGTTTAAAATTTTTCATTTCTTTTGTCAATAATTGATATTGTAATTCTGCTTGTTCTTTACTTAACAATGCCAAAGCCAGTTGGTGTTCCAAGTTAGAAGCTTTTTGTTCAGATTCTTGTAATTTTATGTTTGTATTATCTCGTTCTGATTTTAGATCCATTCTTTTTCTTTCATGATCCTTCGAAATCTCTTCCAATTCTTTTACTTGTCTTTCCTTTCGTTCCAACATTCGTTTTAGAGAATCAATTTCAAGCCTTAATGTTTGATGTGATGCGGAATGTTCTTGTACTTGACGATCAGCTCGATCCCTAGCAACTTTTGCTACATGTATCTGAGTTTTTGCATCGGCCACTTCCTTTTTTAAATATTCAATCTCATGATGTAAATTTCCGATAACTTTTCCTGTCGTCGATTCATGAGTCATTCCCCCTCCGTTTGTAATTTGATGTCTATGACGATTTAATTTTTTTTGCACAGTTGCAAGCAATGCGTTTTTTTCTGCTAGGTCGTGACGCAGGGTATGAACCTGGTGTTTCAACGTTGTAACTTTGATTGGATCTGTATTCATCAGATTTATTATTTAAATGCAAATTTAATGGAGAGATAGCAAAGAAAAAAGATATAAAGTCAGTTATAAAAAATCCAGATTCATACGCAAGAATAGCAAATTTTCATAAAAGAAAAATGATAAACAGGAGGAAATATATATATATTATATATATATACGTCATAAATAAATAAAATAAGTAATTTCCGAAATCGATTATCCGAGCTTCTATTCCCACACTCGTGACCGAGCCGAAACGTGAAAAAAAACCAAAGAAGGATAGGCTACCAACATATGTATTCCCGCCAAAAATAAAGCACTGACCACTGATAAAAAAAAAACCTTGATAGCTTACCCATTTTTATAATACTTTTGCTTTTTCAACTTTGAAAAGTTTAAATTAAATCAACGGTTTATTAAAGTGTTTAAACTGTCTTGAAGAACGAACGCACGATAACGAAAGGATTAAAGAATTTTTTTTTTTTGAAATGACCATATTTATATACATATATTTATATAATTGTATTACCTTTAACAGTAATCCTCTGGTATTCTGGTCTAAATGAGTACAAAAAATATTTATCTATAGATATATGAATTAGGAAGTGATTTTCTGTGTTCAAAAAAAAGGCTGTGTTTCGTGATTTCTATTTGTAAGGTCGCTTGTGCAACGTAGTATTTTACAGTCTTACAACAACTAGTTATTTCTTATAAAACTGGAATTAATTAGTGCATTAGTGTAATTTGTTTTTAAAGCCAAGTCCACAATTCGGTTGATTACTGGCCACGAAGAGAATCGATCATTAGGAGTTTATTTGTACAATTGATGTTAAAATAGTTCGGTAATACAGCATTTAATGCATGACGCGTATTTGATTAAAAGTTTGATTAAATGTATTTTGCTTTCTGTTATGTTATTGGCTCGTTTTCCAAACTTTATTCCCTACTTAAGATGTCTTTTCAAACGACAGCCCTGCATTACCTACATTTTAAGTAGCCAATAATATTCTTACAAATACTAAATACAGTTGCAGAAACCTATTGTATCAATAACTTAAAAAGCATATCTTCAAAGTATATCTTTAAAGCTTCATAGCGGATAACGATAACAAACATAATGTTGTAAAACCGAATTCTTATACAGTATTATTCTTTTGTGATACTTAAATGTTATCATTGAATTACTATATGGGTGTCTCGTATTAAAAAGGCCATTTTGCCAATTTTTTAAAGACATATATTCAAGAAAAAAGTTGGCTTATAAGTAACAGAAGCTAATTACATATTATTAGACAATAATTAGACAATAAAATGCATACATTATGAACATACTGTATATACGTATAACGATAGGTATCTTTTACGTACTAATATACACAGATATTAATGATCTAACTATTGAAATATCATTTCTTCGACATTTTTTTCTTCGACAATTATTTCTCCAACATTGTGTAGGGTGATGATTAATGTTTAAAGTCAGATTATTAATAATCGACTTTAAATATTAATCGCCACCTTATGTGATGTCGGTGAGAAGAAAAAGATGTCGGGGAAATGATATGGACCCGAGATGTCGCATATTGTAATGAATCAAAATTTAGAAAACATATATAGAGCCATATGAGTGTGTACAGTTAGCCGTCTATGGAAAATCTATCATAAAAAAGTTGGTTCGCAATTAGTTTAGGGTTAGGGACCCACCAGCAGGTTAGTGTTTGTTTTAAAGGATGCCCATTGTAGTAAAATTTTATGAGGAAATGTTTTTGTTAGTACGCAGAAGGCACTTTAATAGGCAAAATTTTAAGCTACAAGCGTTTTTTTGTTGGTTTGATTTTTTGCACTTCTTTTACATTACACGTGATCTTGAAATCTGATTGGCCAGCGAAATTAATTAGGGTGGTCTATCGTTTTTTCACAAATTCTGGAAAATCGACCAACTGCATATTTATCGATTCGAATCAAAAGTTTATCGAATCGATAAATATGCAGTTGGTCAATTTTTGCTAGATTTTTATGAAAACAGCTGTAAATTTTATAAGGTGAGGTAGAGTATTATCGTCATGGCACACTTAAGAGTTGCTTATATAAAAATTTTTAGAAAAAATGTATTTATTAAAATTTATTGAAATAAATTAACCATTTACCAATAAAAAAAAAGTTTGAAATATAAATTTTCAAAATTTTTTAAAAAAATGTTGTTTTATTAATTTGAAAGGTATTATTATAACATTAGATAATATTGAAAATTATTGTATTACAGTATTATATAACATAAAATAATCACACATAATCAACATAATTTTTTTTTTATATAACTGTTCTTTTTTTTGCTTATTTTTAACTTACTTTTTTCTTTTTCAGTTTCTTGTTCAGCTTAAAATTAATTTGTTTTTGTTTTTTTTGTTTTGTTTTTTAATATTAAGCAGTTATACTAGTACTTTATTAAGATTCTTAAACCTATATACATATACAATTATATAGAATTTTCTAATGCCTAAGTCTAGCATCACTTGGTCATCCTAATAGTACCTAAGTGCAATTTGTTATATTATCTTAGTTAGAGATAAACTACTTATTTAACTACTTAAAGTCATATCAGAAGTGTTTTTTCTTTTTTGTAATAAGCATATTAATTGTTTTTCAAGTTTCTTTTTTTGTTCGATTTGTCTTTTTTATTTTTATTTTTTTTTTCTTCTTTTACTTATTTATTTTATTTTTTTTCTTTTTAATTTCTTTTTTATATAAGTATTTTTTTTATTTTAGTTGTTATATTGGTTTTCTTTTTTCAGTCTTGTATCTTTTCATATTAAACTCATTATATTTAATCATAAAAGATGTTTTATATTATTCTTATTATTATATCTATACATTTCTGTATTACTTATTTGTTTAAGAGTTATTCAAGTCTTTTTTCTACTTTTAGTATAATAAATCTTTTTATTAATATTTATTTATTTTTATTTTTATTTTTTTAATTTAAATAATCATGCTAATACTTTATTAGAATTCTTGATATTATATAAATTACAAAAAATTTTTCTAATATTTAAGTTTAGCATTATTTAGTTATCTTATTAGTACTTAAGTATGATTTGTTATATTATAGATAGACTGTCATTTGACTGCTGCTCTACAATAGAATACCACTAATTTAATGATGTCTTCTTATAAGGAAGCAAAAAAACAAAAAAAGATTATATATATAAAAAAAATAGAAATATAAGAGTAAACAATAAAAGATACAAAACAAGAAATAAAAGAGAAAAAAAAGATAAACAAGAAAAAAGAAAAGTATAAAACTTGCAATTTACAAAAAATCAAACAATTATAATTTTAAGCCTGTTAAGCATGAAACTTGTAATTTATAGATATCAAACAATCACAATTATAAGTCTGTGCTAAGTTTGTAAAAATTATAAACTATACTAAATAAAAATTACTTTATTATTTTTTTATTTACTTAGATTATTTAAACAATAAACCAAAAAGAAAAAAAAACTTTGATTTTATTATAAAGAATTAGTATAGGATACTAGTTAGTCCA